TCTTTGACACACTTGAGCCTACTGCTGCAAGTCACTGTGCCAATTCATCTCATTGGAGGTCTTCTATACGGAAAATGATATTTTATCTTCTTTCGTTAAGTACAGGAAGTCCTCTTCACTTTCAGCAAGCAAAGTTGCATTATCTGCATATTATGAGTTGCTGATGATGTTAGGGAAATGCATTCCCTAATTAGCCAATAGGGAAATGCAAATTAAATCCACATGAGATGCCACCTCGTACTTAAAAGATAGCTCTAATTAAAAAAGCAGACAATGACAAGTGTTGAAGAGCATTTAAAGAAATTTGTAACTTCATATATTGCTTGTGGGAATGTAAAATAGTGGAACTCTAAAGCAGTTTCTCAAAAAGTTAAATCGAGTGTTTATGGCCCAGAAATTCTATTACCAACACATCTGAGAGAAATGAAAACATACATTCATGCAAAACAATATAAATAGATATTTAAAGCAGTATTCAGAATAGACAAAAATGAGGAAACCCTCCACATGTTCATCAATTGATAAGCAAGTGAAATATTCCACACAGTGAAATATTTGGTTTTACAAAGGAATGAAGTACTGATACATACTTCAACACAATTTAAAATTGCTGTTAGATTGCCACAGAAATATACATATTACATGATTTATATGACAGTCTTGGGTAGAAAAATCTACAGGAACAAAATAATGTTTTGATCTATACAGTTAAATGTTTCTGCATAGTTGTAAAGCACAAATAGACATTCTTCTGGTATTCTTAGCTTTCAGTCAGGATCCGTTTGGCATCAGTAATAATATCCATGGTGCCATGACCTCTTCTAAATCCAGCTTGAATGTCTGGCAGTTCTCTGTCAATATACAGTTCTAGCCATTTTTAAATCATCTTCATAGTATTTTGTTTTAATGTGATATTAATAATATTGTTCTATAATTTCCACATTCTGTTGGGTCATCTTTCTTGGAAATGGGGACAAATATGGATTTCTTCCAGAGTAACAGGCAGGGAACTGTCCTCCAAATTTCCTGCCATAGATAGGCAGGCATGGCTAGGGCTGCATCTGTTATTTTAAATATGTCAATTGGTATTCCATAAATTCCTGTGCACTCATTTTTGCTAAGGGTCTCATTGCAGCTTAGACTTATTCCTTCTTCACCATTTACTTTTAAAAATCATATTGTACTTCCTGAAATATTTCTGTGTTGGCCAATTCTTTTTGGTACAGTGATTCTGTGTATTCTTGCCATCTTCTCTTGATTCTTCCTAGATTGTTCACAATCTTACCCATAGCACTTGTAAGTATGGCAAGGCAAAGCTTCATTTACTTCTTTTAGCTTGAAAAATGTCAAGTGAGTTCTTACCTTTATTGACTATACAAAGGCATTTGTGTACATCATAGCCATATTATGGTTAATCTTGAAAAGAATGGGAATCCTAAAACACTTTATTGTGCTCACGTGAAACTATATCTAGATCAAGAGGCTATTGTGCAGGGTAAGGGAACACATGTTGCTATTAGGTGTTATTGATTTGAAGACTCATAGCAACCCTATGAACAGAAGATTTGAACCATATTCTTTCCTGTGCAATCCTCAGACTTCCTGACACACAGAAGTGCCTTGTAGCAGTCACCATGTCAATCTACCTGGTAATGGGTCTTCCTCTCTTTTGCTGACCCTCCACCCTCCCCAGCATCATGTCCATCTCTAAGGAATATGCACTCCTAGCAACATGTCCAAAGTATGTGAGGCGAAGCCTCCTCATTCTTGCCTCCAAAGAGCACTCCAGTGCTCTGTTCTTTTAGCTATCTATGGGATGTTCAGTGCTCTTCTCCAACACCACAGCTTAAAGGCATCAATTCTTCCTCTGTGATCCTTATTAACTGCCCAGCTCTCAGATAACATAAGTGATTGGCAAGATTATGATCTGAATCAGATGCACCTTAGTACTCAAACTGACATCGTTACTCCTCAACAATTTGGAGAGGTCTGTAACTGCAGATTTTTCCAGTGCAATGTGTCTCTTTATTTCCTGACTGCTGGTACCAAGGGTGATATATGTGAATCCAAGCAAGATAAAGCTGTTAACAGTTTCAAACTCCTCTCCATTCATTGTCATGTTGCCTATAGATCCAGTGGTTAAGAATCTTTTTCTTAACATTGAGATGCAATCCCTACCTAAGGCTGCATTCCTTGATCTTCTGCAACAAGTGCTTCAAGTCCTCACTTGCAGCAAGCAAGATTGCGTCATCTGCATTACTCAGGTTATTGATCAGTCTTCCTGAACCCTGATACCACACTCCTCTTCTCAGAGTACAGGTTCTCAAATAATTTGCTCAGCATACAGATTAAATAGGTATGAAGAAAAAAAATACAGCCCTGGTGGACTCCCTTTTTAATTTTAAACCATGCAGTGTTCCTCTGCTCTGTTCAGCCAACAGCCTCCTGATCCAGGTATAGGTTTCATATGAGCACAATTAAGTGCTATGGGACTCCCACTCTACTCAATGTAAGCCACAGCTTTTTATGATCCATTTGGCTCCTTCTGTGTGAAGCAGCTGGATTCTGGAAGATAGGTTATTTTGGTGTAATTGAAAGTGGGGTGTAAACTGTTTGGTCATCTTTTTTTTTAGTTAATAATCAAGTGTAAGTGAATTGGTTGTTTTGATTTAGTTAACAATCAGCTGTGGGATGGAAGCTATAAATTGGAACTAAACTGAAAGCACTTAATAATAACACCATGTTCCCAGGCACTGTTCTGGCACTGAAAACAAACAATGACAAAAAAACCAAAAGTCCCTGCCTCTTGGAACTGCTAGCAGCGTCATGTTACAGTAATGCAAAATGAAACACTGTCCAGTCTTGTGCCATCCTCACACTCACTGCCGTGCTTGAGCCCACTGGTGCATCCATGATGTAAATCCATCTCTTAGAGGATCTTCTTCTTTTTCACTGACTTTCTACTTGGCTGAACATGTCTGTATCCAGGGACTGGAGCTCCCTGATACTGCAAAGCAATTGAGATGATGTTTGACTGTTCTCACCTCCAAGGAGCATTTTGGCTGCACTTCCTCCAGGACAGAGATCCTCACTCTTTTGGCATTTCATGATATTCTTCATATATCTATTTTCTCACATAATTTGCTCAGCATAGAAACAATGTTGAAAGTGTATGCTCAACACTCATCTATAAGTGTATGAATGAATCCTATAGCTAAAAATGTTTTCTTTTAGAAATCAGAATTATTCCTTTCTTATATATACAGAAACACTTTACAGTTTAATTTTAAATGAAATTTAAATGACATTTAATTAAAAAAATAAATAAAAACCAAGTTTAATTTAAAAATAACTTTTCAAACCAAGAAATAATATTAATTCAAAATACATTTATCCTTTCATTCAGCATCTCCACTTCCATATCATGGTTTTTAAGTGCTTGTAAAAGTACCATTAGGTGGCATACAAACCACCACAAAGATAGTCTGTATTTTTCGGTCAATTTAAAAAAAATTTATTTCTACATAGCCTTTCTTAAGAAAAGGGGCCACTGGATTGAAGGGTTGCCTGTCTGCACTCCAACTAGTTCGAGGCTGCCCTGATCTATCCCTGGAGATATAACAGGCAGCTAAGGATTAAGATGCACACCTTCATGGACTAGGATTGTATTCTCCTGGGAACATATGGGGTGAGACAAAGAGTCAGGGTGATTCTGAGGTGGCTAGCTCTCCCTGTGCTGTCTGTATTTCACCACTGCAGTGAGGCATCCAAGAATTCTAAACAGAAGCCTTATGATATATTTGCCAATAAAGTTTCCTTTCTTGATTTATAACTTTTAAATACTTAGATATATAATGTGGATTCTCTTTTCTCTTGACAGGATTCCGCAATTAGAGCAAGCATGTACATTAAAATGTGTAAGTACTTTTAAAAACAATGTAACTGAAGTCAATGTTTTATACATGGAAATGACACGTTCTAAAGTTCTAAAAGTGATTCATGGCTTGCGTTCCCCACAATGACTTTTTAATCCTGACGTGTTAATGAATATGCCAACTATTACCTACCAGTGTTCTGGTTCTCTTCCTTCCAGGAATCTGGCTTAAATTTACTATGGAATTAGATGTAGTTGTGTAGTTAGTTTTGTTTTTGTTCATTGTGATTTAGATATATATAAAAAAAATAACAGCTTCAAAATTCTGCATCAATCCATCCCATCCTGGGTCTCCCTCTCTTGTGCTGTCCCTCCACCCTTCCGAGCATAGTCTTCTCCCTCCTGGTTATGTGTCCAAAGTATGTGAGACAGTAAATAAAGTTCTTATTAAAAGATGCTTATGGCTTTAGTACTTATTATGGAAATAAAGTTTCAAAACCAGTAATACAGTTGCAGATTTTAAATCTGAAACTATCTAAAAAGTCAATCTAAAAGATGAAATCATCTGTATCTTATAACAGCTCAAAAGACAATCCTAAACATTTTCCTTTATATTTATAAACTCCAGTGGTAGAGGAAAGTTTCACTTAAATAACTGTATGGTTGCTTTGGCATTTATTAATCTCATCATAGAGAGTTAGAATTTACTTTATGGAAATGAACAAATATTTAGAAACAAAATTTTAAAAACACATCAGGGAGGGATACCCTCAAATAATTATAACTGACAAAATCAGTACAGATAGAAAATATTTAAGTTTTGAGTAAGAGTTTAATTTACTTCCATGAAGCAAACTCATTTAGTCATTCTTTTTTAGAGGAAGGAAATTCTATATTTGATAAGCTTCCTCTTCATATATAAATAAACAAACACACATACATATATACATAGTAACAATGAAACATGGTCAAAACTACAGATAAATAATTATAAAATGAACAGCAAGATAATTTATCAAGATTGTGTAAAGATACTTATGCTATACAACTCTCTGATAAATGAGACATGAAAGATTCAAGGGTTTACCTATTAGGAACAAGCATTTTAAATACATTTTGATATTTACTAACTTAAGTATTCAAGGACTTGGTTTGAAGAATCCAACAGACTGAAAGTCTGTTTTTCGAAAGTGCCATGGTCTTCTATCAATGGAGAGATTTTGGAATTTCTATATTCTAGTAGTTCACGATCCTTGGTTGATGTCAGCAATTCACTATCAACTACAGCAATAGTTGTATCTTCTACCAGAATATTTGCTTGATATGCTCCAACTGGAATTTCAGATAACCCGATATAATCATGATCTGCTACTATTGAACCTTGTAAGAAATAAAGATTGTCTGAAAGAAGAAACATTTGCTCGTTAGAGTAATAATTGAACATGATTTTAAACATAAACATTGTTTAAATGAGGAAAATAAGAAAAATTAATAAGTATTACTTTTGTAAAATTCTTGTCTATTCAATAAATGTACAAGTGAAAGAATAATAACATACACTTTTGATTGTTATTACATTATGATGCAAGAAAGATCAACAAAGATTTTTTTAAACTTAGCTTTTCCTGACTTGCCAGTGGTTAAGAGTTGGTTAAGGAAGGACAATTGTGGTATAGATTTTAAAAAGCTACAAAACTGGATCCGCCATTGAAAAAAATTGTTGAGAATATTCTTTAAATGTGTCTATAAACATTTATAGGTGAAATTAATGGGTCACAAAAATATCCCTAGTACCACGACCCCTTCTAAACCCAGCCTGGACTTCCGGCAGTTCTCTGCTCATGTGCTGGTCCAGTCGTTTTTGGATAATCTTCAGCAGAATCTTGCTTGCATGTGAAATCAACGACATTGTTCTATAGTTTTCACACTCTGTTAGGTCACCTTTCTTTGGAATGGGAACAAATATCGATCTCTTCCAGTCAGTTGGCCAAGTGGTTGTTCCCCAGATTTCTTGACACAACTTGGTGAGCACATCCAGGGCAACATCTGTTATCTGAAATATGTGAATTGGTCTACCATCTATTCCTGGGGCCTTATTTTTTGCTGCTCCTTCAAAGCAGCTTGTACTTCTTCTTTTATCACCGTAGGCTCTTGCTAATATGTTGTTTCATTAAATTCTTCTGTGTCTGACAATTCCTTTCGATATAGTGACTCAGTATAATCTTTCCATCTTCTTTTGATACCTCCTGGATCATTTAATATTCTGCCTAAAGCATCCTTGATTAGAGCAACTCGAGGTTTGAATTTGTTCTTCAGTTCCTTGAGCTTCTGACTCCAGCTCCCTGCACATTTCATTGTAATATTTTACATTGTCATCCCATGCTGCCTTTTGAAATCTTCTATTCCACTCTTTAGTATTTTGAGTTCTTCCTTGTGCTTTGGCTTCTCTGCGCTCCAGTGCAATATTCAGAGT